CTTCTTAAAGCACAGATTATGGGCCTCTGCCTCCAGAGCTATCATTTGGGTAGGTCTGGGTTGGGACCTGAGATTGTACATTTCTAACAAGTTCCCATGTGGTGTTGCTGCTGCTAGTCTGGGGACTGTAGTTGGAGAGCCACTGTTTCAGAATTTATATCCCGGTCTCCTAAACCCAGCAAAGTTCACATATAGTTAGGGGTTCTGTTAATTCATGGTTTTCAGTTTTGCTTTTTAAATCCCCCACTCCATCACATAGCCTCACAAATATTATAAGTTCTTGCCAGGGCTGAAAGCCAGACTTAGAATTGCACATGTAATTGATGTTTGATGAATTGAAAATGGATAATATTCTATCACCCATAGAATAATTTTAATTTCTTTCAATGAAGATGTCTTTATTTATCATAACACAAGCAAAACAGATGCAGTAGACTGTATTTCTAAGAAAAGATAATGATAGCAGAGTTTTCTGGGTTGATTACAAGAATTCAAGGATCATCATAATCTCCGAGCAAACCAAAGTGAAAGATTTTGTAATTTGCAAGAGATAAAATTATACACAGCAAGTTCTATGGGGATTTGTATGACATTTTCTAATCTTAAAATCTTTTTAGGAGCTTCTTTTTACTTCCATGCTACTTTTCATAAATTTCATTTTTAGCTTGTATTGCTTTAACCAGAAGCATTCACATTTTGGACTTGTAAAGGAATTTCTGACTCCATGGGGAATTATTTTTCACACTTAACAATGTTTGATATTGTAGATAAAATGTCATACCTTAAAAAACCCATTCCAAGTTAGTCTGCCTCTGTGTCTGAATGGTCTTTTAAATTAACAAGAATATGATAAGGCGAGCAAGCACAAAGGGACTTAAGCTTGCAGAAACATTTTTCCTATTTGATCATTTTGGTGAGAGTCTAAAATACATTAAGGTTCGTTTCTATCTCTAAATATTCAATTAATATAAACTTAGAATATCTCTAGCAGTATTACCCCTAATGCTTATTTATGTCTGATAAAACTAAAGCAAATGGATGTTAACAATTCTTCTTTTGAGTCACTTTGAGGGCTTCAAGAGTGGGCCCTCCTTTATATTTTCATTAAGGAAACATTGAAGGTTTGGCTATGTTGGTATCTGCTTATAAACTACCATCTTTCAGAAGAAGAAAAAGAAAAAAAGGAATGGTGTTGAATGACGATATGACACGTATTGCTTTTCCTCAGAACGACACAGATAAGAAAATATAAAATTAGTTAAATTCATATATGGCTCTATGCCTAAGTCCTAGCCAAAGATTAGAAATCTTCCCAAGCCAGCATTTGAAGGGAGAGGGGACTGGAGACCCACTCATTCTCATCAACTCTGGTATCAGATTCAGTTGTACAAGTTTCTTCACGGATGGGATTTGGGTTGTCTTAAGTATATTTCTCCAAAATATAATTGCTTTACATAATTTTACATCAGGCCTAATGGATTGATTCTTTTATGAAGCAAGGCTTGGAAATGTGACTGTTGGAGTGTTCAACAGAATGACCACCAGCATCTTAAAAATGAAGCCAAACCGAAACAAATCAGAAACTTCTCCAGTTGGCTTCCTTCCAGGTCAAATTCATACCATCGTCATTCTAAAGTAAAATTGTCCATCCTCTGTAAAATTGTAAAGTAGGTAGTTTTATTTTGACTCTTCAGAAGCATTCTTCTATCCCTTTCTGATGATTTCTTGGGAGATCCATAGCCTCATCAAACTCTGACTGCCCAAACTCCAGCCGCAACTTTTTAAGCTGCAAGCTCCAAAAGTTATTTCTACTTCTTTGTCTTCTTCAGTTTCATCATCTCTCTATCTTCCTCTCCTCATACATTAAATCAGTGTAGTTGATTTCAGATTGATTCTTGGACGAAACAATTTGATAAAATTATTTCATTTTAAGAAAAGATGCTGGTAGGCAAAATCCCTCCAAGGAACCCTAGTATTGTACGAGAAGAGGGAGGAAGGTAACCCAAATCGAAGTCAGTGTAATATATTAGTGGGACTTTTCCTAAGCCTGTGTGAAATCCTTCCTAAGGGAGTGAAGACAGCTGATGCCTAACATGGGCTGAAGCTTTCAAAAGGAGACCGTGGGAGACGTATCTATTATTTTTCAATACATTCTGCTTGCTTGGGTCCATTACTAAAACTAAGTAAGCAATGCAAGTTACTTAAAGTACTGAGGTACCTTTATTCCAGAGCCATATATTCAAAATGTAATTGTTGTAAGAAGTACAAAAGCTCAAATTGCCAGTGAACTGCAAGGGTAATTGTATTGAAGAAAAGTTAATCTTTATTTAACTTTCCTAAATTATGTACTCACAGCACTGAAAACTGTCATAACCTCCTTGTTTCAGATTAAGTGGATTATTTATTTGTGATAATGGGCACATATGCTCATTAGCATGCTGTCATAAACAGCTGCGTTCAATGTATTATGTGTTCTGTGACATAAATAAGGTGTTCAACATGAGGTTGTTGTTTAAAATATAGGCCCCAGGAAGAACAAAAAAGCAATAAGTGCTTTTTAATATAGTTGCCTGGTCTTGAATTCTAAATTTATTTCTACCTTATTAATGCTATGGAAATTGCAGGTATTACTCTAGTGAAATATCTTGACATTCAAGGACATTAGAACTTCTTTCTGCTTTCTCCTCCTTGGTGTGTCTCAAGCTAGGTGTTCACTAGCTTGTATTGCTTTTCTTATAAAGGGGGATATCTTGTGGACATGGGGGAGGCATTTAAAGTAAAATAGTCTGCATCTCTGTAAGCTTAGAACAGGGTTCGTTTGATGGATGTTTTCAACCCATCTTAGTTCTGAAAGTTTCCAAATTGGATGTAGAGTTTAGAGATTGCCTATTTCAATGACCTCATTTTACAGATGAAGCAACCGAGGTTCTGAGGACTTAAAAGACTTGTTTGAGTCACAGATCTTTAGGTAATAAAACTAGGACCAAGGGCTAAATATCCAGACTCCCAATTTGACATACTTTCCGCTAGCTGAACAGGCAGGAATTATACTGGCTACACTATGGATCTGTGGGGAGGAGTAGCTTATTAGACAATGAGGGGGCCGGGCTGTGTCCTTTGAGATTTTGACCAATATCATTTATGGTAGACTTAAATGGGCACTGTTATTTTACAATTTATATTCATTTTAGCAAAGATCCAGCTGCTTTCTTTCGGTGAATGGCCTAGTCGGATGAAATGAGTGTATGTCAGTGAATGATGCAGTTCACCGGGCAAGGTTGAACACAAAGGGTAAAGTAACAGACCTCAAGTAGAAGGTGTGGAAAAATTGTATGTGTGGGAGCGTGGCAGATAACACCATGGAGAGACAATGAGAAGCTATTCAGCTTTATCTTCACTGGACAGCGCAGCATACGAAGCTAGGAATAATTCCATCCATTGGAGCTAGTATGGGTCCATCCTTTATGAGAGTTTTGATTATAAACAATTTAAATGCCTCCTTTTTAAGTGATAGAAAACTGGAAAGTTTTTGCAAAGTATAGCAAAAATTGTTCCCGTTAGAAAAATTAAGGAAGCTAATGAAGTTGGGGTTTGTTATCCTGAGAAAAATGAAGGATGAAACATAATTTAGGTCGCATTTTTAAAGAAGTTAAATGCTGCTTCAAAGGAATAAAGGACTGTTGCAAAGAAATATCCATCTCCTCTGCATTTTCACACAAGGCGATTCAGGAGAAAATGGGATTAAATGGAAGCAAGAAAATTCAGTTAAACTCTGAGAATGATTAAATACTGAAAACAAGATACCAAGGGACATTGTAGAATCTTTAGCCTCAGAGATCATTAAAAATGAAATTAAAAGTAATTTAACTTGAATGATTTAGGTATACACCTGTCTGAGCAAAGAGTGAGCCCAATGACCTCCTGAGACCTGGTCAAAGTCTGATTCAACAACCAAGCGTTCTTCCAAATGCTATACTGCCAGCTCCGAAAAGAATATGCTTTAACTAATTATACTTGTCCCACCCCCTCAGGATTCTTAAGTGACTTTCTCTTCTTCCTGTTGATTTCTCATGTTTGTTTATGTGGAAAAAAAAAATCCAACTATAATATTTACTTAGATTTCCTGGCTCATGAGCAACATTTGGATGGAAATTAAGACCCAGCAGGGATTTGTGATTTTCTGTAGTAGTTTATTGACTTGCTTCTGCAAGTGGGATTTCTTACTATTTTACCACCTGAGCTTTGTTTTAAATAATTTTTTCCGCTCTGTTCAGAGTTGGGTTATTTTTGTTAATGAAACACCACATCTGAGCAGACTTTTCAAAATTTAATGGGTGCTATAATCAGAATGCAGAGATAGAAATAGTCCCCTAAATCTTAGCTTCCCCACTGATAACCACTGCTACTTTAAGATATCTAGTTGGGCCCAGCCTGGTGGCACAGCAGTTAAGTGCGCATGTTCTGCTTTTCGGCAGCCTGGGGTTCACCAGTTCGGATCCCGGGTGCGGACATGGCACCACTTGGCAAGTCCTGCTGTGGTAAGCGTCCCACATGTAAAGTAGAGGAAGATGGGCATGGATGTTAGCTCAGGGCCAGTCTTCCTCAGCAAAAAGAGGAGGATTGGTGGCAGATGTTAGCTCAGGGCTAATCTTCCTCAAAAAAAAAAAAAATCTAGTTTTATTTGGAAAATATTAGTATTTTTTCTGTCTAAAGTTTCAAGTACTGACTGATATGTGATGATGGCCATGCCTAGAATTGTATGAATTCTTAATTTTTCATATTAATACTTTTTGGGCCAGTTTCATTAATTGTGGTTACCTCTATTGATCACTTTTTCACTTCTTTAACTCAATATTCTTGATTTTAAGTTTCATTTTTTCCTGGACATTTCTCAAAGCCTCTAACTTTTTTGAAAAAGTTTTGTAAAGAAAAAGCAGAGGATTTAAGCTAGAGATCTATTTGAATAAGCAAACCTATTTCCCTGTTCTGTCTTGTTCCAGGTTTCCAGATTAAGGCTTTCACATCACTGCACTTCCTATCTGAACCTTCTGATGCCATCACAATGCGGGGAGGAAATGTCCTCCTGAACTGCTCTGCAGAGTCTGACCGAGGCGTCCCAGTTATCAAGTGGAAGAAAGATGGCATCCACCTAGCCTTGGGAATGGACGAAAGGAAGCAGCAACTTCCAAATGGGTCTCTCTCGATACAAAACATACTTCACTCCAGGCACCACAAACCAGATGAGGGACTTTACCAATGTGAGGCATCTTTAGGAGATTCTGGGTCAATTATTAGTCGGACAGCAAGAGTAGCAGTAGCAGGTAAGCAGATTCTTCCTTCGCTTCCTCCTCTTTCTCCATCTCTTCTTATTCCTTTTTTGAGATAAGAAAATAATCTTTGCAGAGACAATGTACGTTTTTAAGATAAAGGAAAAATGTAAAAAAAGATATATGCTTATTCCCTTATGGTCTTGACTGACTTTTATCCTAAAATTAGCTTGGCACACAAGAAGGATCACAACAATTAATAGAGCATTATGAGAGTTTTTGAAATAAAGCCTGGCTTAAGTTGATCCACTGCTTATGTCTAAGGGAGGACTTTTCATTAGTATAAAAATGATTTCCTAATTAATTCATTTTATAGCATCAGTAATGCTGAAACTTTGAAGAGTTAATTTTTTTTTACCTTCAGAGCCATGAATTTTATTTTACTTATAATGACTTAACCTGCAACATATACATCTCCAAATGAGAAATTAAAATTGCTATTCTGGGGTCAGCTGGTGGCATAGTGGTTAAGTTCATGCACTCCACTTCAGTGGTCCAGGTTTCTCAGGTTTGGATCCCAGGCGTGGACCTAGCGCCGCTTATCAGGCTGTGCTGTGGCAGCACCTCACATGAAATAGAGGAAGATTGTCACAGATGTTAGCTCAGGGCCCATATTCCTCACACACAAAAAAAGAAATTAAAAATTCTATTAGTGCTTACAAATATCTGAATGCTTAGTAATATTTGGACTCAATAACTGAGTAATAAGATGAACAGTTTTTCTTTTCATTGGATATTTTAAATTGGTACAGACCAAAAAAAATAATATTGAATCTTCTAGATGGATTTTATCCATTGATTTTGATATTTCTGCCCCACTTGTTTTGGTTAAAGGACAGCTTGTAATTATTTCTTTTCACCCCTACAGTATGAGACCTGTAGGGAAAACAATAAAATTTGTACTCATTTCTATAATGATTTGGCTAAAAGTTGGTCTTTGATTTTTTTTTTTTAATTTTTAAGTGAGACACAAAGCAAGGCAAAGGGATCCAATCTGAAATAAATTTAGGCCTTTAAATGGATAAACAGTTTTGAAGGACTGCTTTAAAACTTCATGTTTAATTCTCAGCAAAAAAAATGGAACCATTACTTCCCAGGTCCCATTTAAATTATATCCTGAAAAACCAATTAGAATGAGGACTCATTTTCAGCAATGACATATTCTAGGACAATAAGGCAGGGCCACCACTCCCCACATACTCTTCTAGTGAAGGTGTAACAAAGCTGAAATCTGAAAGAGGTGATTTTCTCAGGTGATGATATAAAAAATTAGATTTCACAGATATGCAATGAGCCCATAAATCCGGCTTCATGCCACTCTTTTGTGGCTTCTTTTCCCCACCAAGAACCCTCTTGCATATTCAGTTAAACCAGGTTGGTCCTGAGGAATGGATCCTGGCAGGCAGGATCACTTAATGACACGGTGGCCAACCACTCTGGTTTAACCTGGACTGACCTGGTTTTAGCACTTCAAAGTACCATGTCCTGAGAAGCCCTCAGTCCCAGGTGAAACTAGGATGGTTGGTCAATCTATTTACTGGTACCCCTATCTGCTTTGGCAATGACAGACTGAAACTTGGATGCAGAAAGTCTCCTTTACTCAGGAGACACGTGAGATGGCATCCTGATCACGAAAACCAAGGCTATCAACCACCTGGGACTTTTGAGTGATGGGTGTCTGAAATTTGATTGATGAGCAGAAAGTGCAGAGATGACTGAGAGGCTATGTTAATTATGATTGATTAAAAAGAACAAGTGGAACAAGTGCTGAGGATTAAGGTAAAAGCTGCTTTCCCAGAATGCTCCAAATGAAGTGGAAAGGGTGCAATTTGATTTTCCCTCTTTTGAGAATTTTGAGACTTTCAGATCCGACCCATCAGTCACCCACAGGACTAAGGTAGCTCTGCTGAATTGAATGCTGGCATTTCAATGCCCTGTTCCAAAGGCAGATGCACATACGCTGTTAATGAAAATGGCCTGATGTTGTGGTTTCAGTTTCCTGCAAACCAGATTCACTTTTACATGTTCTGTTTCAATGACAAAATGAAGAACGATTCCTTCCCTGTGAGATATTAAAATAAAGTGGCTTCGACTTTCGTATTCTACATAAGGACAGGCTGGCAGATTCAGTCACTGAGTTACAATCTAATATTAGATTGTATCATTTCAAGGCAATAAGCCTGTTCACAGCATTTTAAACACTTACCCTGCTGTTTGGCAACACAGCATACATCAATGTTATATCTGCTGAGGTTAAGATTGCCAAACCGCCGGAATGCACAAGGGGCATATATCTTCCTCGTAATAAAGACCATGGGCCTGATTTAATCCCATTTTTAAAGCATTAGCAGTCAATAAACCAGTCACTACTAAAAGGTAACAGTCAGCTTTGCTTGGGTGAAAAACACATCTGTTCTGTACCCTCAGGTGCTATGTAGAGCCCATTTAATATAATACTCCTCTTCCATTTTGGCTTTCTCAAAGCGTCTTTTGATAAAAAGAAATATGACAAATGAAACCTGCCTTTAATCAATCAGCACATTTTATGCAATGATCTTGCTTTGCGCTGTTCATCCCATTTTCTAGGAACTTTTCGAGTGCTCTTTAAACTCGGAGTACACACTTAGCTGAAGAGGGAGGGAGGATAGGAAAGATATACAAAGGGCTATGATCCCGTAGAACCTCTTGTTAAAACTCTGGATGTAACGAGCTACCGACTCTTGGTATTTCTGGTAATTGTGAGGTCTGTCAATAAGGAGCACCAGGGCTATGAAGTTTCCATTTGAAAACAATCTGGCCGGTACTGGCTGAAACTTGAGAATTTCTTCTGTATTCAATTAGCTCTAATCTAAAACAGTGCAGTATTTCGCGGCTGTGGATACCTCTGTTTAACCCTCAAGACTGAGAACAGCTTGAAGAGAGAAACAGTAAGATTTTATCTATAAAGTTTCTCCTATCACCCTCCCCTCTCTGTACCTAGCAAAGCGTCTGGCATGTTGGGTAGTTTTTCAGTAGACGTTGGTTTTACCGACAAAGATGTAGGGCTTTATGCCATAAGCGGAGAGTTTTCAGTCAATATCATCAGCTTCCTCCTCCTCTCCCTCTTCCTCCACTTCTCTTCTTTTTTATTGGACTTCATGATATTAAACTTACTTATATGTGTGCCTATATAAATATACTCTTGATGGACTGAGCATAATTTGATTTCTATTTCAATAGTCTACAAATTAATTAATAACAGTATTGAGGACTTTGGAATCAGAAGATGGACTGAATTGGAATATCCATATGCTACTATAAAAAAAAGGCACCTGTCAATTCCTCATTCCTCCATAACTCATAACTTCAAGATGAGCTTGCATCTGGCCAAGCACATCTCCCCTACTCCAGATGTTGCCAGCTATCTGAGCCTCTGGATTCTTTTCTCTGAAACTGACATCATAACAACTTACCTCCAAAGGCTGTGGTGGCTTTTAAGTAACTTTTAAAATGTAAAGCCCTAGTGCAGGGTAGATTCTTATTCAATGGAAGTAGTAGTATAAATAGACCTAATAATGGTTATGTTATTACAATTATTATTATTAAGAAATAACAACTTTCAATATTCTCTCGTGATGGTGCAAAGCATTTTTTAGGGGGGAGTGGGTGTGACACAGGCAACAAATCCTGAGCCATAAATATTGTCACCTTGGATCAGATACGTGCCTTTGCAATCTAGTAACACAAACTGGCAGGCCTGAATTGTATTTTTAAAAAGTTGAATCTATGCAATTTGTTGGTAAATAGTGCCAAAATCCATTTGACTACAAGACTCATTTTTCACCAGTTGATCTACTATTATGTCAGTGGAGCCAATATGATTTGTGCTGTCCGGATCAGGAGTGCTAGATCAAGCAACTGCTGCTATCATTTCGGAAAAAGATGCTGGGCATTCTTCTCAACCGAATCTCCTTAACATCTTTTTAACTGAAAAAGATCATGGAAGCTGGATTCACAGGAATTAGTTGGTCTAGACTGGGAGTTTAACATAAGACTCTTTCCTTTAGGAAAAAAAAAAAATCAATGCCAATGTGTAACAAATCCAGATCATTACAGAACTCCTCTGAATAATAGTGGAAGTACCATCTTATTCATTTTCCCTGATACCACCACCACCACACCTTCACTATCCAGCACACCCACCCACCACACACTACTTGCCCACCAACTTTCCCTGCAGAGGAGCATGTTTGGAAGCTGAGTGCTACCTCTCCTTGCATTCACACTCTTGGGGACCGAGTGGGATCAGCACATCCCTGCTCACGTGAAGTAGCACACACTGCAGGGTATATCATAGTGCATTCATATGCAGCTAGATTCTTCTTTTGTTACTTTTTAAGCATTTACATCTTGAATATTAAAACCATCAACTTGGTTTTTGTAAGATTTTGTTCTTTGCTCAGTTTATATTGATATGCATTTTTCTCATAGTGCTCAAAAAAGCTCTGTGATATAGATACCCAAATTGACAGAGAACAAGCTAAAAGAAGATAATGATTTTCAACAGGCAGAGACTGGAACTCAGGTTGTCTGACTTTGGTGCACACTTATTCACTTCTCCATCTAAGGACTAGATTTAAGGACACTGTGAATAGTTTCCCACCCAATCAGTCATTTATTTTTAATTAATGAAACTCTCCAAAATATAAACTAGTGGAAAATAATAATAATAATAATTAAAGTTGATTTTATTTGTCAATTTAATCCCTTGAAAGTATCAACTTCTTGTGGAAAAACACTATGATTTGGATGGTTTCTTCTAAGATGAGAAGATTTTGCTGTCATAGCTATTATTTTGCTATTATACATTAAATAATGACACATGATAAATCTCTCCTGAAATACAGAGAACACATAATTCTAAAAATAAGCTTACAAGTAGTCTTTCTAGGGGCAAGATTTTGGTTGTCTTTTAATCTTTGTAAGTGGTTTTACAAGTTTCCATCTTTTTGTCC